CAAAACTAAACAGCCTACAGTATTTTTACAGTCTTTATTTTACAGTTAAAATAAATGTTTATCAAATAAAGTCTAATGTTACAACTAATCGGGGATCCCTTTAACAAACAGAACGTATCCACCATGCTGCAGAAAGTTTTTTTTATGTTTCCTGTTTATTCTACGAGCTCACAGTTCTCCTCAAAGCCATTCACAACTTTCACAAGGCAGCCTCATATACAGTATTCTTTGGAATACATTTTTTTTCTTTTTATGYCCATCTTTTGTAAGTCTTGGTAAAAACTCTGCCTGGTTGGTTGAAAAGCTTTTAAGTGCTCTGCCAATTTTAGGTCTTTTAAAAGATGCTTTGTTAAGTTCAGGTCCCGGCAGGGTCACTATGAACTTTAACAGTTGCTCTTAAAGTGAAGTGACTAAATACAAATTTTCTGCACTCCTAGAAAACTCCAAGTACACAACAAAATATATTTAATGGCTAATGTGTTTTATTATTGGAAAGTTTTGTTTTGTTTCCTCTTCAAACTTAAAATCACTGCATTGATCACAGATGTGAAAACAGCATCAGTCTGATTGTAGGACGTGTTAAAAAATCTTAATTGAGAAATTTTTTCTTACTACTGAAGACTGATTGGACAGGCTCTATAAAGATTGTTTATTATTCAAAAAGTGTTTCATGTATCCATGTTGTTTCCTGTTCTTGTCGGCACTTCGTTAWCTGCAGGGTTGTCTTGCATCCTTCTACTGATCTGTTGCAGTTCTACATTAAAATCTAACTTTTCTTGGGATTTTACTCACAAATTGAAAAATGATACAGTAGACAAACRTTTGGCAATTATTATTATTGTTATTATTTTAAAGATTTCAATAAAGGCACAGATGTTCTTTAATCAACATAAAAAAGTGTCACGAGGTCCTTTAACTGAAGTAGGTTAAACAAAATTTCTGTTTTGAATAACAAAAAGGACCAGAAAGGGTCTGATTTAAAACAGAATATTCCCCTCTTAGAAATAAATGAATCAAATAACTCATCACCTTGTTTTTGCTCAAACATTGTGGCGGCACTGTGTGAATTATAATGCGATAAAAAATGAAATTAATTMAATTTAAGATGAATTTGAAACAAAGTATTGCAAAGCTTGAAAGGGTTTTTAATCCTTTCTTTTTTATGCTGTTTAGTTAGATAAAYCAGTAAGCGGATGAAATGTTGGGTAAGTAAAAAAATAATAATAATAAATTCCAAATTGGCAAATTAATTACAAGGCTACATTTACTCATGGGAGCTGAGCTCTCAGTTGGACAAGCGAGTGCTTCTGTGCCTGGTCCAAATGGGTTTCGATGCCTCGGTTTTGAAGAAAAGTAACTGAGTGGCACTGATATGCATTTACATGATGTGTTCGAGACCTCATGCTTCCCACAGAGTGAGAAAACTAACCAGCAGAGAAAACACACACACAGACACACACACACACACACACAAACCCCTCTATGCTGACAGCCTAGCCTGAGGCTGTTTGTGTGTTTGTTTGTGTGGGAGCGCTGGTCTGCAGGTGTGTCAGCAAGTCTACGAGTGTTAATGCATGTGCGACTCCATCCCCGACTTTACATCCCTGCTGTTGTGTAAATATGAGCCTGTAAAAGATTCATGCCTGAGGACTAGTGTCTCCTTTTTCCTCTGTTTTTACCAGGCTGTTTGCGTGATGTGAGGTTCAAYGGGCGCCCCGTACCCCTTGATCAGGAACAGCGTTCGGAGGGGCTGCAGGTGGTCACGACGCAGGGTGTCTCTGTTGGTTGCTCCTCGGACGCCTGTAGAAAGCATCACTGCTCCCCTCCCTTGGTGTGCGTGGACCTCTGGAGACAGCACGAGTGCAGGTGCTGTAAATACGCAGAACAAACAAGTCAACATTTTGAAGCAGCCTTAAAAAGTGTGCGGGCACACTTTGTACATATTTACACRTGGATCCCCAGTGATCAAAGGGATGAGGGATGCATAGGATGTTCTTACTTWTCATAAAATGTTATTTGAACTCTACTCATTTATACAAAACATGTAATTTAGATGTAAAGTGCATAGCATGTGGCTTTACCTTAGATTTACTGTATCATATATTATTGGCTCATAATATGTCATGGTGCCCTTTTATTCATTGGAAATTTTATACGCAAATTCAGCTCATTAATCGACAAAGATGTAAAGTTACTAAGTAAGCAAGTAAGTAAGTAAAGTTTTATTTATAAAGCRCCTTTCACAGAAATATATTCACAAGGTGCTGTGCAATCATTAACAATGTAAAAAAATGGGGCAAGATAAAATGAAACAAAATAAAACATAATTAAACATAAGCAACGTAATGAAAACATCAAATCAAGATTAAATTTTAAAATTGTAACTCAGACACACGGTCAATGCAGAGCAAAATATACAAAGACACACAAAACCTACAGAAACGGGGGAGAGAAAAATCTGCCGTATGTTCAATAATAGGAAAAACAAATGATTGGCGAGCATTCAGTATGGAGGTAGGCTGGCAGTAATGGTGAATGGTTAGCTAAATGTAGCTAAATGTAAATGTAAATGTAGCCTTTTAATTAAGTACAAATACTTAAGTAGTAATTTTGGTTATTGATACTTTACTTGAGTGATTATTTTTCTTAATTCAACTTCTTACATTTTCACACAATTATCTATATTTCTACTCCTTACATTAAAAAAATGTAAGAAGTCATTAATCCCATTTTATTTTGGTTTGTTTTCACGCTGGCTTGTCATTGTTAAAAATAAAACTAAAATCTATCCAGATATGTCTCACCTCCCAGATAGATTGAATTTAATTATGGCTGGATGATAAGTAGAAATATATACCATTCAAACACCCTGTTGGTTTGTACTCGATGAGACTCCAGCAGGAACATCAGGCGTATAAGAGTAGTGTTGTAWGAACACCTAATCTGAGACCAGGTCAAGATCAAGACCACAGTGTCTCGAGACCTGGACCAAGTCAAGACCAAGACCAAGGGAGGACGAGACTGAGTCAAGACCAAGCCCAGGAAAAAACAAACAAAAACAAAAACCAGTGCCCTTAAAGATTCTGTACACATGAAGCTAACTTAATATATASATATTATATTGACAAAATCTTTGTGTGAGGACAGAGGGAAGACTTTTGCTACAGAGGCCGACTGTTGACGTTAGTGACGATAAAAGTTTAATGTTGTCCCCACCGTCTCTGAAAGTGAAGCACCACGGAATTTACAAGTTGCCGTACGCTTTCTTCTGGATGCCRTTTTACAACTATAGTCTTTATGATTGATGTAGCCAAATTGTTTTACTGAAAATTTTGCAGACATCTTCTCCCGCTCCCAGAGAAGCACTGCTCACTATCCTGAAGTGCTGCATTCGAGTGGGGGGAGGAGCAGCCGGTAACAAAAATACATAAATGGCAATAGAGTCAAGTTTGGATTTGAATCAGTACGTTTTAAATTCACTGAAAGCAAAGATGTWAGCAAATAAATTGGAGAATAATCTGGCCATTTAGTGATATTTCCACAGTCGTGGTCTTGACTGAAATAAATTCCAAGTCCTCGATGTCTGAGACTGAGACAAGCCCAAGACCATCAAAAAGTGGTCTTAAGATCGGTCTCAACTACAACACTAATGAGGAGGTATATATGAAGCTGAGTGCATCCCAAATGTTTCAACATTAGCATTTTAATATAAAATTATGATGAATCTAATGTTTGAGACCAAAGCATCCTCATAAAATAGCAATAATAGTTTCTTTTTTGAGAAGTGTTGAGTTCAAGGGGTTAAAATTGCCACTGCCTTTCATTCAAGCATCACTTTGAGGTGAGGATTATAAACTGCACCTGATCCTGCTGGACTCAGTTCTGTTAAAAGTCCCAAGAAGMCACAAATCCCCAAATAAGAACTCCAAATGACAAAGTGCCTGCACAGAACATGTCCATACTCCTATCAGTTGAAGGCTTCTATCCTTACACTACAACAGCGGTAGTGATAATAAATTAAACATGCCGAAATGAATGCAGAGAAATGAGTTTACGCATCATAAAATGTGATAATTGAGTGTGAATTCTGCTCATTTGACTTGAGGTAGAAAGAGACCAGCAGCTGGCAGAGAGGCAGAGTTCATCTCTGGTACGCTGCGTGTGAAATGTTGTGTCAACCTGAGAGAATCGAGTACACCAGCAGTGACCGCCGGAGCTTTGACTGGCCCTTTAAACTCTGCAGGGCCTCTAAGTCTCTTTGCTGTGATTTCAGCACTCCAAACCAGTGGGGACTTTTGACATCCACATTCTGTGATTGCAGCACAGCCTCAGGATACAAAGCACTGAGGGGAGCAGGGGGCAGGGATGAATNAACCAAGGGTCTACAATTGCAAAGCCAATCTTGGCTCCAGGATTTCGTTTCTTGTTCCGTTTTTTGGCCATTCACAGTCAACACTCAGTAACCTTCAAAGACCGCATGTTTGAATCTAATAGAAGAGGTGGAACTCCGGAGGGATTTATTTTTACACTATCAGCTTAGGTCTCATAACTCCTTTAGAATWCATGAATCGTGTTCTGGTTTTTATTTGACAGCTCCCCGAGTGTCTCTGTTTCACTCTTCTTCCTCTCCCCCTCCCCCACCCCGCCCAGGTGCCCCCCGGGCCACATGACCAGAGAGAGCGCCTCGGGCCGGGTGTGCATCTACACGCTGTGCGCCAGCCGGCCGTGCCGCCACGGCACGTGCGTGGCCCACTCGCCGTCGCGCTACTCGTGCCTCTGCAGCGAGGGCTACCGCGGGCGGCACTGCGAGGTGGCGCTCGCCGTGCTCCACAGCGAGGACAGCAACAGCCTCAGCCTGAGCTCCATGTTCGCCATCAGCATCTGTGTCATGGCCTTTCTAGGTAGCTATGTGGATTATGTCCTCTTCAGCGTGTGGTAACCCAACATGAGCAGTTTGCCCGTCCTTACCTTTCATCTTGTTTTCCGCTTCCCGCCGCTGTCATCAGATCGTCGTTTCACATTCTTTGTTTTGTCTGTGAAATCAGCTGTTTGATTTGTTCTCCATCCTTTTGGTTTCGTGTGAAATCTGTATACAAACAGCATATCTTGTTGCCGTATTGATCTCTGGAGTTGTTCCGGGGTATGATTTTTCTTCGGTTAGTCAGTGAGAACATGAAACAAATATTTACAAAAGGGAGAGGAGCAGGGAGCGAGGAGACAAACTGTATGCCATAAATTGTGATTCATAGGAAATCTGTGAGTCTCTTGAGGTTTTTGAGGGGATTCTTTGTGTTTTTTTCTTTTTTTCCATGTTTCCCATCACTTCTATGTCCCCTTTCCCTTTCAATGTTTGAAAAGTCAATTTCTCTTCCAGCCTTACTTTTTTTATTGTCCGACATATTTTATATTTCACCATCCATTCATTTTACCCCCCTGATGGTTGTCTTTTATACATTTCTGTGTACATTTCTATTTCACCATGTCAAGCTAAATGTGTCCCTATTGCACACTTTACTGTTGTGCAGCATATGGAGCATATGAACAGATMAAAAAAAAGAAGAAGATAGCTTTTATCTTACAATTTATCATTCTAGTTTGTTTCTGAGCTAAGAGTTGTAAAAAAGTAGAAGTTAAAATCTGCCATAAGAGTTTATTTATCAGAAACGGTTAGTGTATAAAGGTTTCAAATTAGTTTGGTATAAGAGGATTGTAAAACAGCAATTTATATACAGCATGAAGCTACCCACACATCCCCTGCTGGAGCCCAGCTTGCTGTCGGCACTAAAAGGATTCAGGTGAAAACATGTATGCCTTAGCAGTGGGCATAATGATTGATAGAGACAAAATGACAGCAGCGGTTCAATTCATGATGACGTTCATCTGTTAAATTCACCGTTTCGTGCAGAAAATGAAGTCAAAACTCAGAAAACAAAGTTATAGAATATTTTGAGGTGAAAGATTTTTGAAGCTTCGGCTGTGGGAGTGAGAGGGCTCTTACTGACAAAGTCTCCCTTTGAAGACTCGACGGTTGATCTAAAGCTGCACTCTGACACATAAAGGGTCACGAGTTCAGATACATAAACTGAAGAGAAACTTCTGACTGCTTTGTAGTTTAAAAGAAGGATCTCGAAATCAATAATTATAAGATGAGGGTTATCTTTTCTTTGTCCCTGTTTATAACCCAGCAGCTGAACTTTGAAATTCATCACTGATGACCTTGTTTAAGACGGACAATATATAGGTACAAGTGGGGTGCCATGATTAGTCGACTAGTCACGATTATTGTCGACTGTTAAAAGCATTGATAATTTAATAGTTGCTGCATCGTCTTTTTTTTCTAACTTTGTTTTTCTCTCCAAACTGCTGCGGCACCTTCCACTGCCACGTCTGCCTTTCTGTCCTTGATACACATGCGCAGTAGTGGTAATCAGGGCTGCCACAAACATTTTTTTTTAAAAACATACAAAGTTAGAAAAAAGAAGACGCATCGACTATTAAATTAGTCGTTGACAATTTTAATAGATGACATAATTGCGACTAGTCTACTAATCGTGGCAGCCCTAGGTACAAGTATGGAGAATATATGGCAGCTTGTTGAAGTTAAAAACTTATTTTTGAYCCCTTTTTTTAATGAACATGTCTAAACCAGAGATCAGAGAAGATGAACATATGTCAATGTTTTGGGAAACAGTAGAAGATTTTAGTGACACTCAGCGGATGTTCAATTAATGTTTAGTCCAAAATAATGTTAGGATTTTTTTTCTCTTTAAGTGACCCATCCATTGAGTAAAGTTTAAAACAAATGTTGTATGTTAAAACCCATTATTTTATAAAGTTACAGGTTACAATTTTAAAAAATAAAATAAAAATTCAACAGTTTTGATGTGACGCAAAAGTAAGGAGAATCTAGATTTATAAAATGAAGCCTTAAATATCATTTTTAGTGACATTTTCATATAAAAACTATAATGCACGGATATGAAAATTTCAGCCGATATCGATATCCCATGTAATTATTGCTGTTATGGCCGATAACTGATATTTACCAATATTACACAAACATACAAATTATATTATACATATACGCACAAACACACTTTGGTCTTTTCTTGATACTGTAAATAAACAACCAGACCTCTGACATGGCTCTGGTTCAGTTATTCCTAGTTTTGCAGCATCRTTATCACTATCATGATGAAACAGATACCACTCAACCAAACATCTCCCCTCCAAAAACAGAAACACAAAGCTAAAAAGTGGGAATTCAATATCAGATGTTAATATCAGCCCAGTTTTACATATTGGACCGATATTCTAAAAAATGACCAATATCAGCCGATACCGATGTGAATGCCGATATGTCGTACATCCCTGATAAAAACACATTTTTTTCAGTTTTTATTGCAACTCAATGCCCTGTATGCTAAAGCTTTAAATAAAAACATATTTGATCTGTTAGCACCACACCAGGTTGTAGTTTAATTTCTGTAAAACTGGCTCAGTTACAGACATGTTTGTGTTTGCATGACAGTGGCGGCCATCTTAAATCGTGCTAACTGCAAAAGTTAATCAGGTGTAGACGTAAAGCAAATTATTAAATATTATAATGCTAGGGRTGATTCTGCCACCCCAAATTGTAGCTCATTTTAATAAAACTGACTGAGTTATAGACATGTTCGTGTTTGCTAAGGCCTTTGAATAGTGGCCATCATAAATCAGGTGCACTCCAAAAGTTATCCAGTTGTAGATGCACATCCAATCTTTAAATCATCTTTATTTTCTCAATGACTCGAGTGAAACATCTAAAGTTTTGAAAAATTCAAAAAACTTTGAAAAAAAAAATCCCCCAGTGGTATTTACAAGTGATCCAAACATAAATCCTAAGCAATAAAAGAACAAAACAGAGAAAAATAAAGACTAAGCGTGGAAAACAGCTTCCATCTTTAACTGATAATAAAAAATAGTGATCAGCTAAACTGATTATTCAAATGATGTTTCAGCTCTGGACCTGAACTGATGACACTGGCCCGCTCGAATGAGCTGTCGAATAAAACTGCATGGTTGATGGTTTCATAAAGGGAGTTAAGCTCTAATAGAATCAAGATTCAATATCTACCCACATCTTCTGCCAGAGGGGCTTTTTTTTTAAAAATAAGCACGCATTGATATTTCCACAAATGTTTCAAAACAGATGGAAGATCCTTTTCAGTGTTGAAGTTGAGGGAAATGAATAAACTAAATGTGTTTTTAAGGAATTGTACAAGAGAAGAATTGGAACTTTTTTTTTCTTGTTCTCTGAAAGACGGAAAGACAAATGGCTCACATGTTGTTGCTCTCACTTCCCTCAAAAGGGCTGCAGTGCTGTTTATGAGTCTTTGTGTCACATATAAAACACTTGGGAAATTCAATATACTGTCCCTGCCTATAACTGACTCAACATTCCCCCCCAGGGCTGTGTGGCTAGTATTAGAACATCAGTTATTCTGACACTTGAGAGTAAAACATCTCAAGTCATCTGCAATATTTGATAATTAATTCAGTGCCGATGAAGTGTGGCCTTGGTTTGTTTCATGGAAATTCCTCCGGTTGCCTGCAATGCTAGCCAAGCAAAAGAAAAAAGAAAGCTGTCCAGTTCATGTTGCTTGTCCACTGTTGCAGATGAGGCATTTTGTATTCAGAGTGCAAAGTTTTCACCTCAACCAAGAATGACAGACGTCTCCATAATGGAATTCAAATCAGAATGAGCACTCGTTGGTGAGTGTAATTATATTTTCAAACCTTGAAAAAAATAATAAAAACAAACAAACAAACAAAATCAAGTCTTTTAACTTCAAGCAAAAAAGCTTCAGCTACGTCTGGGGAAAAATTAGTTGCTTAATTTACAGAACAGTTTGCTTTACAGAACAAACAACGGTTGTTTAATGATGATCCCCACAACCACGAGAGCCACTACTATAAATGCACACTCACTACAGAGAGAGAGAGAGAGAGATTAAAGAGGCAACTCTTACTCTGCCTCAGTGTGCATTAAAAGTTAAAATAATCATACATTATTAAGTTTTACATAAACCATTACGGTTCGACTAGCTCGGCGCGTTATTGACAGAACCGTGATGATTAGTCCGCCATCAAATCTGGATCTCTGTTTCTGATGAATTGAAGAAATTAGCTCGGTTTTTAGACGCTGAGCGATTGTTGAAAGTGCCTTTTCTTTTCTTTTTTTTTCCACCCCTTGAAAGATGTATAAATAAAAATTTTTTTCCAACTCATCCTCATCTCTCACCTGTCTCATTTCTGTCTCCCTTCTTCATTGGTTCCCCCCCCCCTCCCCCCCACCCTGACGTTTCATCTTTTTCACAGCTCATTTTGTTTCTCATTACTCTCAGACTGGAGGTGCAGTGAATTGGTTAGGTGTTCGGATCAGCCCGGGTTATGGTTTACTTCTYGCTCATTCATAATGCACGGTCCGGTCCGGGCTAACATCATAATACCTGGTTCATAATAACAGTTAGAGGGCAGAGAGGCAGCAGTATTATGGATTGATGAATGACTGAGATGTTTCTGGCCTGCCCTGTGTGGTATTGATCTCTCTGGAATGTAGTTTTTTTTTTTTTTTTACTCACACAGCTCTGTGTGGTAGTTGCCACAGGTGTAAAGCAGCCTGTGTGTGTGTTTGTTTATCTATGATTAGTTTAGTACATTTGCTGTGGAGGGGGCATGATTCGGCTCCTCCGCACCATCTATCGAACTCCTCCCCTGAAGTGGTGGGTTTAAAATCAGCTCAGGTGGGGTTGTGGGGGGGATCAGACCTGCAGGTATTCCTGGAGGTGTGGACGAAGGCCCGCATCTGGTTGGCACCTCATCAGGATTCTGGTGTTTTCTTCAAGGGTACTCAGGCATAACGATGAAGGAGCCAGGTCAGCTGATCAATACACCCCCTCCCCTGCACACACACACATACACACAGAGGATAGTCAGTTGGGGATTTAAGAGGAATGCTAAAAAAAAAACCACATTTTCTGTCTGAAATAAAAGAGGCAAAGAATTAGAATGTGCAGCAGAGGAGCTTAACTCTAGTGACTCAAAAGCAATGATTTTTAATTGAGATAAGTCTTTTTTTTTCTTTTTTTGCAGAGATTACTTCTCCGAGAGTTGTTTTTCTGCTTGCGTGACCACCAAAGAGTCGTTGGTGCATTATTTCCTTTCAAAGCAATTACTTTAAAAATCCAGACTAATGTCATTATCTCGCATTTCTCCCAAGATTTTCAATTAAACTGGTACTTAGCTCGCGCCGTGTAAACTACTCTAGGTGAAATGGATCCCATCTTGTGAGCGAGATAAAAACCAAGGCCAGAAGAGGCCAGGGAGAGGAACTGAAAAAAAAAGAAAAAGAAGGAACTGCGAGAAGCTTAATAGGGAGGAAGTGCAGAGGAAGGGTCCAATCTGCAGCAGCCAAGAGGAAACAAACATCCAGGGACAACAGAGAAAGAGATTCAAAGTGTCATCTAGTACAAACAGATAGCGAGGAGCTAAGAATGAGCAAGAAGGATGGCAGCTGGGATAAAAATGTTGGTTGAGATTAATGGATTTTAAAGGTCAGTCCGGCACGTTGTATAATTCAGCACACAAAAGCTGTGATTGATGTGTATGCTTTAGGACCTTTCCTGTTCGGCTTCCGCAGTCTTCCTCTCTGTGTTTAGCTGAGCCACTGAGGCTTTGGGTTTAAGCTGGGAAGAGTACAAACTCATTTAATAGGTTTCCGAGGAACTGTAGTCTTTGATAAGACRGGAAGCAGGGAAGCAACATCAAAGGGAATAGGTGGAAAGGTGGGGCCTCCATTTCCACGAATGCTCCATTAGAACATCTTAACCGTGCTCTCACTGCAGTTAGCGGGCCTGTCGGGACGAGTCACTGCTTTGGCTTTCTTCTGTTTGTTTTTCATCGCACGTTATTTATTTCAAGTCATGTGAAAAATGAATTTGTTCTCATGGAAATGCCAGTAGGGGTGTTTACTGGAGCTTCCAAATGTGTATCACAACTTCCCGCTCATTCCATTTGCACCCAAAGTCATGTTTCCTCCTGCTCAGAATCTCGTTTTAATTATGTGAGAGTGCTTCCCGCTGTGCTAACTCGCTCTCTGGCACCCCTCAGTGTTGATGCTGGGGCTGTTTCTTTACTCCTGCTGGAGGAGACACAAGGGCCTCAAGGAGGGCGTTTACCACGTGTCGGCGCACCACGGCGAGTGGGAGGACATCCGAGAGAACGTGCTCAACTACGACGAGGAAGGTGGAGGAGAACAGGACCAGGTAAACGGTTTCTTTTAAATGTCAGCACCATAAAACTTTCCAGAAAGGATATATGCAAACGAGGGAGTAAACAAAGCAGCAAATATTAACATATGAGAGATAAATGTGCTTGTTGGGGCTGGGAAAGGATAACTAAATATCAATCCCTTGGAGACAGCAATGCGAGTCAATTAGGTGAAATTTAGCAATTGCTGCAAATGCCTTCGCTTTAATGGGGTTGGTATGTGAGGAACATCTTCACTGCAATCAGATAATTAATTACTTGAGTGATCAGAGGTGCTGTTGCTGCCAACTTCTCTTCCTTATACACTGGATCTTATAGTCAAGAAACGAGTAACAAACCTATTGGCTTTCAGGTGAGCTGTAACCAGTGGCGGAGCCAGACATTTTTCTCAGGGGTGGCCAGACTGAGACCACTACTCACACAGGGGTGGCCAGGAAAATTATATCATTTTTTACATGAAAGTTTTTTTGAAGATCTTTGGTTTTTGGTCATTTCCTTATGCCATTAAACAGGCAGTGAATACCTTATAAACATGGGTGTCAGAACTGTTTTAAAAGTCGGGGGACACACTGATGGGGGCCTGGAGGGTCCTCCCCCAGAAAATTTTTAATGAAATAGATGCCATTTCCTGCATTCTGGTGTATTTTACCAGGTTGTTTAACATTCTTTTACCTACATAAATAAACGCTTGGTTTAATAATTATTTTAGAGACAAAGTATTTATTAAACTAGTTTCTTTATGCTGTTTTTAAACTCACTGCTGTGGTTGAGATACRGTTTTAATGTGACACAATTTATCATATCCAATAACTTTAGGGGTGCCTTTTACTTTTATATTGTTTATTGATTTATATTTATTGTAACACATGTCAAATTGTGCCAAATAATGATGACCCTCAACTGCATGTTTAAACTAATWTTAATAATTTTACCCAATGAACAGGTGCAATATTGATCATCACCAACAGTAAATTTAGAGGGGTGTTTGACTATTTCTGATGTAGTGATAGGTCTACTCATAACTAACAGGGACAGATCATCATGCAGCCTTCAAAACATAAAATTACACTGTATGGTGACAAAAAAACATTTTTTTAGCATAAGTCCAAAAGTTGACAGCAAAAGTCAGATTACATAGTTATATGTGCTGTGAACACCCGCATTCCGTTTGACACATTTGTTCGTTTATGGTGTTTTAGGCCCGGATGTTAAGGAGATATAAAGAAAACCATCACTTCCTTGTCATTACTCTTCTTCAGTGATAGAGCTTGGTAATTGTTCAAACTGTTAAACACTGCCACCAACTGTTCAGGAGGATTATTACACCCCTAAAGGTTTCACTGTGGAAGGGGTGTGTACAGCAGGGTGGCCAATGRGGTGGCCAAAGATTTGTCTGCKGTGGCCATGGCCACCCCTGGCCAACCYCTGGCTCCGCCCCTGGCRTAATGTGTTGTTTATTGTTATCGTCCAAATTTTGATCAAAGATTACATATARATAAATGCAAATAGATCCCTTCTTTTGTTGTTGTTTGTTTGTCTCTCTTTCTAATTTCCTGCTTGTCCTTGTTGCTTGTCTCTCAGAATGCCTTCAACATGGTGGAGTTGCAGCGCTCCCTTCAGCCCAGCCCTGCGCAGTCGCTCCGCTACAGCTATCCACAGAACATCAGCTGCTACCCGCAGACTAAGCTTCCTCAGGACAACAACAAAAAGCTGTTGCTGACTGGGAACGGCAGTGCAGCCATCGCTCTGCGTCTGGCGATCCCCCCRTCAGAGGCAGAGACCTTATCTTCCCCGTTGACCTTTCGCCGCTCTCAGCGAGCCTTTTCCTTCTCCAGCCAAGACCTGGCTCGCTACCTGTGCGAGGTCATGAGGGACACGGAGCGCACCGAGGAGCTCGGCACCATGACAACGCCGCGCCGCCTCCCCAACGGGAAGGAGCGCAGCCTCTCCTCGGTGCACTCGCTCAGCTCCCTCGATGCCTCTCAGGGTTCAGAAGTCAGGCTCCAYGCGGCCCACATGACCCGGATGGACACGTTCAAAGCCCTCCGAGCGGTGGTGTGTGATTTAAGAGGAGACTCCAAAGCTGCAGACGGCCAGAGAGCCAAACACAAGGAGAGCAGAGGGCAGCTGAACTGCCAGAAGAACATGTGAGGCTGCAGTCTGCAAGGCAGAACTGCAGGTTCTGAGAAAGCAGCATTAATCAAAAGTCAATGGTGTAAATCCAAGGGGAGGTAATTAAATGTGAAATACTTTGAGACTGAGAGCTCGCAGGGTCTGTGTGAATTCTCCTATAAATGTACTGTATTGATGAAACTTTGAACACTTTGATATACAAGATGTTTACCAATGACTGATCAGATGTGATGTTCTGTTTACTTGGCATTGCACTGTACAATGTTTAATTCACAGAAAGCACATTTTTKGAAGCGCCACCCTCCGTGTCACAACTATTCATGTCATCAAACTCACAATGTCTGCAAGCAAGAAGGCAAATGAGTTTCCTGTGAGAAAACTGGAATCTTTTTGTTGTTAATGACTCATGAAACCATTTATGTGACAAAATGAATTTGTTTTATTTGTATTATCTATTTCTTTTAAAATAAATGAGTATCTTTGATAATATTTCAAACTCAGTCTTGTTCAACCAGACGTTCAAATGTGATTCTGGAAAATGTAGGATTTTTTTTTTTTTTTTTTGAAGTTTGAGCCAACTTTCATCTTCAAAGGTTTATCAGCAGAATGAAATTATGGTTAAATTTCTTATAACCTACATGTAAAAGAGCTTTCTATGAATTTCCAGCATTACTAGGATGACAGCGTTCATGACAAACTGGGACAGCTGTGCCTGTCACATTCAGCTATTACCAGCAGCAAGAGCCACTGATAAGAACAAGGTCAATTTGGGGATTAATTATTCATGTTCAGAGCCTGTAGCCTTCTGACCCAAACTGCTGAGAGTTTCCAGTATAAACTCAAAGTATGGTGGTCCCAGCAGGCTGCTTTACATCACATTTAATTGGACAACATTACTGGAGTTAAACAACTGTGACACGGGAGCGACTCTCTGGAGAAACGCGCAGAGCTGCCGCCTGCAGCTGATGGTCTTGATGTCTGCTTTTGGTTTGTCTGCACACCTACATAATGCATCGTGCTGAGAGAGAGAGACTGAGAACAGGATTTTAACGCCCCATAGGTCATAAAGGAGCTTCGTATTTATGCGTTTGTATTCATGAGGCTTGACGTACGAGCCACAAGAGATACCACATCTGAATGAAAGATCATCTCTGCATTAATACTGCACGTCTCTCCCTGTGTGTTTAGTTAAACCTGTTCCAGGCAGAATTTCTGGGAGGGTTTTTTTGGTGCGTGGATCAACACAGCCACCTCCTGGCCAAGAGGCAACACAACCTTTATTTTCAAACAACAGCTCATTACTCCACATTCAGTTCATCTGCTCACTTGAGGGACTTCTCACAGCAGGATCTGAGCATCTTTGCACAGACTCATGATTATCTCYGTCACCCTGAATTGCAATGTGGGCCAAATATTATTGCATTTATTAAAATTAGTCCACTGAATGCATGATAAGAAGTTATTTAAAATGCAAATTGCACAACTGCAGTTTTCTACCTAGTTAAAGTGTAAACAGTGAGACAACATGACTAAATTTACATTAAAAATAAAATTATTTTTTTCTGTTTTTAGGTCACAAATGTAAAAAGTACAGATTTTATTACCCTAAACCTCCATCCATCTCGGTGTGACTATTTGGCAAAATGTGTAACATTAACCATTAAATTATGTCCACATAATGAAAAGAAAAATGTTTCAGATAATCAGAAAATAACAATTATTTTCCTTTAACAGCATGTAATTTGTTTTTCATCCCTGAGAGGGTGCTGTAAGTTAATGTGCTGCAGACACAGCAAATCACAGCGCCGCCTGAGAGGCAGTTTCAAATAAAACACTTTAATAGATAAATTGATAACTTCAGAGAGAGATGGGTCTGTGGTAGAAATAATTTGATTCATGTTTTCCAGTTTTTACAACCATCAGCTAGCAGCCGAAGCTGAGCAGCTTTGGTCAATTTTCTTCAGCATGTGAGGAGCTTCAAGCTTTATTGACTTTAAAATATTTGCAGAACAATTTTACAACATGTTGTTACAAATTTATTTTTATTTGCACGTGATAAGACTTACACTAAGAAAAGAACATAGCATTAAATTTAAAGTAACAGTTCAGATCTTTTGAACATTAATTCTGTAGAAAGGCCATAAAAAATCAACATCTTACCTGTAGCAGATGGCTCTTTGGAATGACCTCAGTTTGGAAAAATCTAATTAATTTTGATTGAATGGATGAGCTGATTAAATA